TTTTTGTTCAAACGTGCACCATTTCGCGAAAAAACAAAATATCGAAAAAATCCTACGTACGTCTCTTGCTGTTGTTATATAGAAACTAAAAAAATTTTATTTTTTGTTCCAGGACCAAAATTAAGGAGGTTACGTCTTCGGCCATGGACCTACTGAAAAAAAGGCGTCTTCGGAGAAATGCTGGACAGCCGCCATTTTGAAATTAATTAACATAAAAAAATTTGTATTTGTTCTTTAAAACCTATATTATAAAACCTATTTCACAGATTTTCGGTTGATCCTTTTGTTGAGTCACAAAAAATTCATAAAATATGCCCATTTTTTCGCGCTCTAGACCAGCTTCCCCCTTTAAGAAAGGACCCGCAAAATCCATATGAATGCGTTGCATAGGAGTCGCAGATGGCTGCCAATGATGTACTACAACTTTAGGTAAATTGTTTTTATTCGCATTGCAATTTGCGCAATTCTTAACATTTTCTATATCATCGTCTATTTTGGACCACCAACAGTAACCACGAGCTAGCTCTTTCATTTTAACGACTCCAAAATAACCTGAGTGCAGTTCTTTTAATATTTGCTGTTGTAATGATTTCGGAATCACAACTCGGTGTCCTCGCATAATGACACCCGAATGTAAGCTAAACTCGATTTGATCTATGTTGAAACGGTCTGATTTATGGATTAGTTTTCCTGTATGCAATGCTTGAAATAAGTTCTTTACATCCTTATCATTACTAGTCTCAAATGCAATCTTATCTGCTGAAATAGGAAGAGTGTAGACACTCTGTATCGATTTGAAAAGCATCTATTACATCACTGTTAGAATTTTGATAGTCAATAGGAAGTCTAGATAAGCAATCTGCGTTAGCATGATCTTCCGATTTTTTGTATTGGATTACATAATTAAATCCTTGTAAAAAAATAGCGTAATGCTGCATTCTCATTGCAGCGTAAATTGATAAACTTTTAGTCGGTGATAGGATTTGCACCAGTGGACGATGATCCGTTACCAATGTGAATTTGCTACCGTAAAGAAATTGGAAGAATTTCTTAACTCCGTAAATTATGGCGTAAGCCTCTTTGTCAATTTGTGAGTATTTTTGTTGCGTAGGTGAGAGTGTTTGCGACGCGAATTGTATTACACATTCTGATCCGTCCGGATAGCGATGAGAGAGTACCGCTCCTACACCGTACGAACTGGCATCTGTGGCAAGAACTAACGGAAGTTTAGGATTGAAATGCACTAAAACTTTGTCACTTGTGAAAGCTTCTTTAGCTTTTTTGAAAGCAAGCTCACATTCTTTTGACCATGTGAATGGTGAATTTTTACGTAATAATTCATTAAGTGGGTGTAATATTGTACTCAAATTTGGAATAAAACATCCATAATAATTAATCATCCCAGTGAAAGCTCGAACCTCCGATACATTTTTGGGACGCGGCATTGATTTAATACTTTCCATTTTACTTTCTTCTTTATGTACTCCGTCTTTATTAATCACGTACCCGCAATAATTAACTCTATCCATAAAAAAATTTGACTTTTCTACATTGATACGTATATTGTACTGATGCAACCTCTTTAATACCTCTTCAAGTCGACCAAAATGTAATGCATTCTCCTGCTATTACTATATCATCGAAAAATATAGCAACGCCGGGAATACCTTGTAAGATGTTTTCTATTTCTCTTTGCCAAATAGTGGGACCGGACGCAATACCGTACATTAATCTGTTAACTTGGTAAAGTCCTTTACACGTTCTGATTGTCAGACATTCACGATGATCGGGAGCTATTTCTAATTGTAAATAAGCTTGCTTTAAATCGATTTTTGAAAAAATTTTGCCATTAGTAAGCTTAGCTAACAGTTCGTCGATGGTTGATAAGGAATGATCATCCATTAATAGTTGAGGATTAACCGTGGATTTGTAATCGCCACAAATACGAACTTGGCCGTTACTTTTAATTATTGGAACAATGGGTGTAGCCCATTTAGACGTTGCGACTTTTGAAATAATGCCTGCGTTTTCTAACGCATTCAATTCTTTTTCAACAAGCGGAGGAAGTTTGAAAGGCATCGGACGTGCTCTGATAAACACGGGAGAAGCATTCGATTTGAGAATTAGTTTAGCTTGTAAATCTTTTATTGCAGATAAATCTAGTGAGCTCAGATTTTTATACTTATCCAGTAAAGTACGTATCTTATTATGAACCTGTACTGATAAATTATCAACAGAAGCATTGCACGCTAGGAAATCATTTAATAATTGACGAATCCATTCTCTACCCATAAGAGGTTTTCTACGACCTTTAACCACGTAGATATTTAGCTCTTTAATACTCAAATTATATTATTATTGAACGTTCACAGGAATAAATCCTTCGCAAGATATAACACGACCGCAATACGACACTAACTGTAGATCTGTACGACGAAGAGTCGTTCCTGAAATAGACTAGCTATATCAGATAGATTTACAATTGAAACAGCAGCTCCGCTGTCAATTTCGAACTCCATAGGTTTTTCGTTTACCAATAGTTTAATAAGAAACTTTTCTCTGTGATTCTTTTGTTCTAAACTCAAAATTTTCTGTAATTGATTAGTGGAAGTACTACCCTTGAAGCAGATGGTGCTGAGATGTCTCTGTTTCCCACAAGTATGACATCGGATTTCACGACTTAAAGTACACTTGCTAGCCAAGTGTGATTTACCGCATCTGAAACACTTAACATTAGTATTTGCTACACTTTTCGCTTGAGAATTAGAAGAATTCTGACTTGAGAATTTTTTTGTAGTGGGTTTCGGCTTCTTATCTGTATTCTTGCCGTGAAATTTCTTGCCCGCCTTGAGGTAGTTGACACCCATAGCCGATGAGCTACCTTTTTTCATTTGCTCAGAACTCTTTTCCGATAGTTCTATGGTGATAGCAACTTTGACCGCTTCGTCGAAATCCAAATCCTTGCTCTCAAGAAGCCGCGCTTGTGTCTTCTTGTTCGAAAGCCCGAACATAAACTGATTACTCAACGCTGTTTTCAGGTAATTGCCAAATTTGCAGTGAATGCTTAGCTTATGAAGAGCCGCTACGAATTGCTGAACTGACTCTCCGTCATTCTGTATTTTTTGGTGAAAACGGTAATTCTCGGTGATTTCCAAAGGAGCCGGCTCATAAAATTCTTGTAACTTTTGAACCAACAGATCGTATGATTGTGAAAACGAATTAACCGGATCCAGCCTGTTGCAAAGTACATCGAAAGCCGTTGGCCCTACGTAATGAAGCAAGTATGGCACTCTTGCATCATCTTTGATGCCAAATATGAGAAAAGCGCCCTGTAGATGTTGCACCCACCTTTTCCAAGTTGTGGATGATGGCTCGAACGCTTCAATTGCAAAAGATCCCGGAATCGCTGGTTTCTGATCAATGGTTCCGGTTGGCGACATTTTGTTGTACTGTAATCGAAATTGCCTATTGCATTGATCTTATCCCATCCTCGTCGCCAATTCTTGTTATGTATGTAGTGTAAGTGGTGGAAGGAATAAATAATCGATGGCCCAACTTTATGCTTAATCCTCTTATCATGAGGAAACTTGAATATATTATATTATATATTTAATATCCTTAGACGTATATATTATATAAACGTTGACGCCCTGGCCTCGAGTGCGTGTGTCGCCCATTTGACTTAATTCCGACTTAAATCCGTCGTAAGCGATAGTAATCGATACAAAATCGATAATCAGAAGGTAATGTGCGCCCTCGCGATAGCGCGAATCATAACTGCGCGCGTAATACAAAATAAACTAAATCTTCTAACACAGCTGAACCCACTTCCGCTACCAACAAAAAGGAGAATTCTCCCCACACACCCCTGGAGCGCAGGAGTAGCCCACAAGAGGGCTACGGCTGCGATTAATAAGCGTCCTCACGATGCAGAACAGACGACAGGGGAACCCCCGAGCAAGACATCTAACAATTTGTACTCTTCTTAGGCCTCTCATCCTACGCCAGATACTATATGTAACTATTTCTCGAAGGACTCCGCCCCATATATAGTCCTGATACAGAAGAATCTTGACAATGAATTGACCCGCATCAATCCAATTATGGTAAGCCGAATTATTACTAAGTATGTTGGTAACAGTATAGTTGAGGTTAAGTCGGTGGGACGTAACAAAGTCTCCATTGCCCTCAACAATTTTGAAAAAGCAAATAGCATCCTCAAATTAGACACTTTGAAAGCAAATAATATGTCAGCTTCGATTCCAGCCTTTAGGGTTATAAGAACTGGAATCATTAAAAATGTGCCACTTGATATCAGCGAAGAAACTATACTCAAGGAATTTAACTCTCATGCAAAAATTATTTCAGCACGAAGGCTTCAACGCAAGGTTAGAAAGGACGGTAAAGATGAGTTGCTTCCTTCTCTCTCAGTACTCATCAAATTTCAGGGACAACTACTACCCCGTGCGTTGTCCTACATATACGTATCTTTCCCTGTATTCCCTTACATCCCGCATGTTCTCATGTGCTTTTCTTACTTGCGGTTTGGCCATATTAGTGCGGATTGTAAGAGCATTGCGCGTTGTGCGAGGTGTGGTCAGAATAGGCACGATAATCAGGAGGATTGCCCACAGGCTCGGCTTCCTCCTAAATGTTGCGGTCAAGAGCACCTTCCTTCCTCCGCTAAATGCCCTATGTACATCAGACAAAGACAGGTATATTATTATGCGGCTCTAGAAAACGTGTCATACGCTGAGGCACGATCAAAATTTGGAATCTCCTCTCGTCCTTTCCCCCTTTCCTCTTCCCCTGTTCCCCCCTCAATGATTTCCACTTTTTGTCTCCCCCTTCCCACTTTCCCTGTTCCTTTTCCCGTTCTCCCCCGAGTGGCGTTCCGCCACTTTATGACATCAATCCGTATGGCATCCTTGGAAGCATTCCAGAATTTGGCGCTTCCCTGACGAATAACGTCTCACCATCCTACAGTGATAAGTCCGATCCGCTACTTACGCCGGTATCCCCACCGCACAATATAAAACTCATGGTATGTCACGTTATATCGCATCTCCTCCTCCTCTTCCTCCTTCTCCTCAAAATAACCAAGTCTTTTACGACCTTCGCTCGGCCCATAATGCTTGCCTTATAGCTCCCTCCGGGACATGGATTGATACTTCAGTGAACGCCTACCTTCCCCCTCCTCCCACCCATCTCTACTCATCTGCTTACTCTCCGTTCACCCCTCTCCCACCCAGCCTTCTCCAATCATCTCCCCTACCTCTTCTGAGAATGCTCTTTCCCACTCGGAATTAGTTAACTTCATAAGTTTAATCTCGAGTTTATTACTGAGAGTAATGAACAGTATCCCCCTCCCCCACGATCATAATAATCCCTCTTTAAGTGAAGGCCTGCGTCAAATCCAAGGAATCCTCGCCGACTTTATTAAGAAAATATAATATGGCACTGTCAACTTTTAGTAAGGATAAAGATCTTTCTCGTAATCAATCTTTCCAAATCACTTACTGGAACTGTCGGGGTGCTTGCTCTAAGAAACGGGAGATTGAAAGGTTGACGGAAGATGTCGATGTCTTTATATTAGCAGAAACTTGTTTGAACCCGAATCATTCCTTCTCGATCCGCGGTTTTGATTGCATACGTTTTGATTCATCCTCTAACGACATTAGAGACCTCCTTATTCTTATTCGGAAATCGATTTTGTACTCGACTATTGAGCTACTACCGAACTTATTACCTTCTATAGAAATTCTAGCCATCAAGATTTTCTCGGGTGATCATTCCATTGCGATTATAGGGGCTTACCGTCACCCCAACGTATCGCTCACAAAAGAAACCATCAATTCGCTTTCCCTATTCATGAGCCAATTTCCTACATGCATTCTTTCTGGCGACTTTAATACTCATCATCCCCTCTGGGGTTCTATTAGAACTAATTCAGCGGGCACCCTTTTAGGGGACCTGGCAGAATCTCTTAACCTCATTTGCTTAAATCCTGATTCCTCTCCTACCTTTCCCTCCTTCATTTAAATCTCCCTCCACTATTGATTTGGTCTTTGCCTCTCCCGACTTTGCTCCTCTATGTCGTGTTCAGATTGTAAACGACCTACATGGCAGTGACCATTTTCCTATTTATATCACTCTTAATGAAAGAGTCAGATCTGCTAATATCTTCTCTCATAGACTTCGCCTGTCTCATTTACAATGGAAATGCTGCCAAACTGGAGGAAAAAGCGTCCTCTATTGTCGAGGAAGTCTCTACCGTCTCTCTTTCCATTTCTCTGATAGTAGGCTATCAAACCTTTACCCAAGGCATCATGTCGTGCATGAGCAAGAGTTCTTCTTCCAAGAACAGTGAGCATAATACCCACCTCAACCAAAGGGAATGCTCCTCGAGAAGTCCACCGCCGGCTCCTTAGTGATCCACGCAATGCGATGAGGTTATCCGTGAGTGCGCCATTGCTTTAAAAAATTACAAGCAAATCCCTACCACCGAAAATTACATTGCTTATCAAGAGATTGTCCGCCGCACTCGTAAGACTCTTCACAAGGCTAAACGCAAGGGATGGAAGGACCTCTGTGGGAAATTGAATCACCTTACACCCTCTGCTGATCTATAGAGGATGATTAAGCGTTTCAAGAATCGCCGCCTTGCGTTGGGGGCGTTGTTGGATAGCGGTTCGGACCTCAATGGAAAACTTCAGTCTACAATTGATCAATTCTGCCCTTCCTCTTGCTCCCCCCCACCACCTTTAACCCCAGCTACCACGGATAACAATCTTACTTGGCTCGACTATCCCTTTTCTTTGAATGAGATCCGAGCGGCACTGGACTCTGTCAGATTATCGTCGAGTTCTGGTATGGACCGTATAGAATATCACCTCCTAAAAATTCTCCCGGAAAATCTTCTTTCCTGCTTACTATCGATCCTAAATCTCTTGTTCTCATCTTCTTCATTTCGCTCAATGATCTCACTCTATTGTGCATCTTATTCCTAAGGCTCACCACTCGGGGTTTCGACCCATCTCCCTTATTTCGTGCGTATTCGAGATCATGGAGCGCATGATACTCAATAGAATGTACTGGCTTTCTGAATCTCCCTCATCCCCCCTCCCCTTCCTTCTTTCGGACAACCAATTTGATTTCCGGAAATCTAGATCCTGCCAAGACAACCTGACTATCCTTATCACTCATATCCACACTAGCTTTCTTAAAAAACAGGACACTATTGCGGTCTTTATCGACATTACTAGGTGTACAAATAAGTTTCCGGGTTTCACACATAGATGGCGCCAACGACACATGTAGTCGACATACATGTCTGAAGTTGTTTATTTTTTGTAGTTGCGACATCTAACGACAATAATCAATCATAATATTTCCAGTTTCGCGACGAAAAAAAATTTTTATGCAACAGTGAAAATGTCGGGTTTTGTGCCAAAAAAACAGTATTCGCGGGAAGTCTTGCTTTTCTGCTTTCACTTGGGCAAAAATGCAGCTGAAGCACGTCGTTTGCTTGAGGAGGCTTACAGCGAACATGCACCATCGAAAACAACCTGTGAAGATTGGTTTAAACGCTTTAGAAGTGGCGATTTCGACACTGCGGAC